CCTGTGTGGGAAGAACCAGTCTCTCAGCCACCACCTGCAGTGGGGAGGGCCCACCACCAGCCTGTGAGACTAGCTACCTATGGGAGATTTTTTTAAAAAAAATATTTTTATTGATTTCAGAGAGGAAGGGAGAGGGAGAGATAGAAACATCAATGATGAGAGAGAATCACTGATCGGCTGCCTCCTGCATGCCCCCCACTGGGGATCGAGCCCGCAACCTGGGCATATGCCCTGACCGGGAATTGAACCAGTGACCTCTCGGTTCCTGGGTCAACACTCAACCGCTGAGCTACACCCAGCCGGGCCTTATGGGAGATTTTAGTTTACACACCATACGCTGGGCTCAGGAGACAGGTCTTGCAGGAACTTCCTTTTCTTCCACTACTGCAACAATGTTGAAAAAAAGCTCAGGCTTCCAGGGGGGTAAATGTTTAAAATGGAGCCACTTAAGCCTCAGGACTTTGCTTTTGGCTTCTCTGATAACCCCAATTCCCAGCAGGCTCTGTTTGCCCAAGTTGGAGGTTTAGTCTGGGGAACAACAGGGTTGTGGTTTCTGATTCTCCTCTGGCCAAGGCAGGTCAGCCCCCTCTAACCCTCAGCTTTCTTACCTGTGTATGGGATGGCTAGAGAATCTTATTGCCACGGTTTTGTAAGGAGCAGTGTGTTTGTAGAACAGAGGTCACTGCAAGTTCAGCTGGAATGGGGTAACCTGCATGCCTCTGAGGCCCCTTTTCCCATGGATGCTCATTTATAAATGAGGTTACATTCCCCAGCTAACCCTTCAATGCCTAGTAACCGCCCCCCCCCCCCCCAATATACCAAGACTGTGGTGACACAGGACTAAAGCTGTGTCCCACATGTTCTAGGGCTGCTAATTCTGCCCCGCCCACCCAGGGAAGCTTTGGGTCCCTGAGCCCAGGGCCATCCGAGGTGCTCCCAGAGGTGGGCAGCACTCTGCCTCCCACATCACTGCTCACCATCAGCAGCACTGAGCAAAGCACCTGACCGAACAGTGTCCTGCTGAATCTAAAAACTACTTTCTGGGTCTTCTCTCAGATCTGCACAGAACAAGGGGCACTCGCTGCATGCTTAATTCATCTAGCAAAGTTAGTGGGTATTGGTCATGGGCTGGGCCACGCCCTCCCCCAAAGGACTCACTCTAGTCAGAAGACATGCAGCTTCGGGTGAGGGGAGATTTCAAGTGCTCGCTCAGCCCCACCATCCATAACTTCTGACAAGTTATGACCTCTCTGAGCTTCAGTTTCTTTATCTGTAAAATGGGACCCTCTCTGTGACCCTGCGATGAGATCATGTCTAAACTAGAGGCCTGGTGCATGGATTCGTGCACATTGAAAGGAAATTACTTAGAAGGTGGCTGGCAGGGCAGGACTGGGTGAGACGGGCTGGACACACCCTGGAGCCAACCTCCTGTGGTCCTTCCCCGGCTGGCCACACCTGGAGCAGCCCTGGGGCTTGAAGGGTGTCTGCGGAGTGAGCGGGGTCCCTCGGCCTGGCCTGTGGGGATCGGGCTGAAACCGGCTCTCTGACATTCCCTGAGGGGTCCTGGATTGGGAGAGGGAGGTTCTCGGGTGACACACCCTAGAATTGGGCTCCCTCCTCTCTGGTTCTGGGTGCGTCACCCCAGAACTACAGCTGCCAAGTCACCGCAGCTCGGCAACTCCTGTGTTGAGCATCTGCCCCCTGGTGGTCATTGTGTGTCATAGCTACCAGTCGAACGGTCAGATGGTCGCTTAGGCTTTTATATATATAGATGTGTAGTGCTGGAAGGTAAGGGTAGGGAAAGGAGTCCTTTGTGTGTGTGTGTTGGGAGTGGGGCGCTAGAAAAGCCAAGTGCCTGGCAGAACCCAAGGCATAGTGCAGAGGAGGGCGAGCTGGGGAGATGGGGGCCTGACCTCCAGAGGAGGCACCTAGAAACGACTGGGAGTTACCTGTGCCTTCACAGCCTCCATCAGAACAGACCACAGACATTCCCCAGCTCCTGAATGTTAATTCTTTTCATTCTGTTGTGACCGAGATAACCAATGGCCACGTAGAGGGAATGCTAGGGGGAGGATGCAGAACAGACCCCTGACTGGAGGCCGACCTCAGGTACCACACAGCACCGGCTGGTTTGCATGGGAACCTCAGTGCCAGCAGACTGGCTACATGCTCTTAGGTCAGAGGCCCCAGATTGCTCCCTGAGAGGTGGTGCTGAGGCCTGTCTTTCAGGGACACACTGGCCAGTTTCTGCAAAGGCTGAATGTTTGGAGAGGACTGCTCGGCCCCCATCAGCTCCCACACGGGTGTGCTGACAGGAAGCTGGGACTCTCTGCTCTAACCTGGTGTATCTGTGATCCAGTGCTTTCCCTCTCCTGACCCTGGATTTCTGGTCTGTAAAGGGAGAAACTGATCCCTTAGCTTGAGCTCCTGCAGCTCTAGGATTCCATGCCCAAGACTTGCTTTTTGCTAAAAACTGAGTTAACCAGATGTGGGTGTCTCATGGCTGGGAGTGCTGGGCAAAGGCCACAAAGCTGGGAGGCCCAGAACAAAGCCCTACCTTGAAGGGCCTGAGAAATCTTAAATTTTAAAGGCTGGAGGTCAAAGTTCTTGAGACTAGTTAAGGGTCATAAAAAAACCACAAGTATTTGTTAACTGAATGAGCCCAGCAAACAGAGAAAGTGCCCAAGCCTCCACAGGGGCTGGAAGTGACCCGAGTAAAAGAAATATTGTATCTGGCATTTCAGCTCCTCAGCTCAGGAACTCACACCTCCCTCTCTCCAGGGCTTCCAAAGTCGAGAGAATGAAGAACAGTGACAGGCTCCCCAGCAAAGAAACGGCATATTATAAAACTAAGGCATCGGTGCAGATTTTCCTCGTAGGGTCAGACCTTCTGAGAAGCTGTCCATTAGACCTGACAGTCAGTGAGGCAGGATAGTAACACACTAGGAAAATTCCTGGCAAATGGGATGGGGAAACAGACAAACAAATTAAACAAGGCCAAACAATTTGAACCACTTCCAGCCACCTAGTAAATTGCAAGACCTTATTTCCCCTAACCAAGGGCACTCGAGAGTAAATAGTTTATACCTCTCCTCCCTAACCAGAGAATGCACGGCTTAAATCATCCTGGTTGGGGAGAGAGAACAGAGACCCAATTAGTGCCATTTGTGCCAGGCAAACCCACGGACAGATGAAGTCAGGGGAACAAATAAAAATCCAATTAGAGCCAGGCATACCCAAGATAAAAGTAAAACAGTAAAGCAGACCAAAGAATAATCCCCAACTCCCCTATATGCTTATTTTGGTGCATCAGTATA